TTCAGCAAATGTTTATTGAGCACGTACTATGTGCTGGGCATTGTTCTAGATGCTGGGCTGGCCTGACTAGATTAGAAAAACCTTGTTGGTACCTGACGTCCAACTAAAGTACCTTTGCCTAGTGAAATGATGATCCACACCTGAAGTTACACTGTCAGAGTGTCTTTACTGCCACAAACACATGGCTGTGCAGCAAACGGAAAAGAAGCTTACAAATATATTTAAATGATACACGATACACACACAGTACTCCAAAGTCTAGATGGAAATGTAACAAAATGTTAGCTGTGAGGGTCTCTAAGTAGTGAGATTTTCATTTCTTCTTCTTTTCGACGTCTAGATTTCCGAAGACACACGTTACTTGTGTAATAAATTATCTCAAAGAAAAATTCTTGCCAGAGACCAGAGAGCTGGGATCAGACATGAATATCAGGGCACGAGAAGGATGAGGGGGCCGGCAGATGAGGAGCCAGAAACCCACGCTGAGGATTAAGCTTCAGACTGCACTATCGGTGACGCTGATGTAAAAGAACAAATTTGAGCCTTGAGGACTTCAAGATGTCACAGAAAAGACGATTTCACTGAAGGTCACAGCTTTGGGGAGGATGGAGCTCAGAGTCTCCAGCTCAGGGCTCTGGACCCTCTCAGACGGCTGGCTGGTACAGATGTTGAGGTTGTTCAGTACAAAAGAGCACCTAAGGGGACACTTTCACATCTTTGTTATTTTGAAGTGGTTTTTTTCTTTTTTCACATTTGTTGACCCTATACATGTAGGGTTTAAATGTGTGTTCTACTGAGGTTTCCAGCAGATGGCGGAAACCTCTCCTGTTCTAACAAAATCAGCCCATCACAACTTTGTGGTGGAAACAAAGTGTCTTATTTACAAAAGGTGATATATGTCAGTCTAGTCAGAATTACAAAGGGGAACCGGGTTTTCTAATTGAAACATTTAATCAGTCTGTCAACATCTAACATAAACTGCATTTTAAGCAGTAGCTGTTTTTCTGTCTGCTACAAAATACTTTTTTTTTTTAATTAAAAAAAAAATTCCATATTGGGTTAGTATACTAGCTATGCTGGATAGCACAGGTCATTCATCGGAATGTTACTGCTGATTTCTTATTTAAATTTAATAGGCACTTCACTATGACACAAAATCTCTATATAACTTAATATTTATCATCAATAATACATGAAATAAATATTACATTGCCATGTATTGCTTTTGTTCTTATAGAAGTTTGCCAGCACAAAAATTAAGTGCTGTTAAAAATTTGTGGTTTGAGGGGCGACTGGGCAGCTCAGTTGGTTTAATGTCTGACTCAGGCTCAGGTCATGATCTCATGGTTCATGAGTTCGAGCCCCACAGCAGGCTCTGTGCTGACAGCTCAGAGCCTGGAGCCTGCTTTGGATTCTGTGTCTCCCTCTCTCTCTGCCCCTCCTCTGCTTCTGCTAGCTCTCTCTCAAAAATAAATAAACATTAAAAAAAGATTTTTGTGACTTCATATAGGCAAAATTTTCTAAAATGTTAAACATTCTGGAGCGCCTGGGTAGCTCAATTGGTTGAGTGATTTTGGCTCAGGTCATGATCTCACTGTCCATGGGTTCGAGCCCCACACTGAGCTCTGTGCTGACAGATCAGAGCCTGGAGCTGCTTCGGATTCTGTGTCTCCCTCTCTCTCTGCCCCTCCCTGCTCACACTCTGTCTCTCAAAAATGAATAAATGTTCAAAAAAAATTTTTAAATGTTAAATAAACATTCTAAGTCACAAGAATGACTGTCAAATCCAGTGACCATTTCCAAGAAGATGAGAGGCAAGCACAAGAAGACTGAAACTCACAAAAGAACAGTTTCTATTTTCATAGATATTTTTAAATACCTTTGTCTAGTTTAGAAAACATGACTACTGAAGGTCTCAAAATCACTATTATTTTATGTTCAACATTAAGGTTTGTGTGATATATAGGGAGGAGTTTATATTTGCTGTCATTATTATTGAGAAATATATACACCGATGGGGAACTGTTTCCCTTGAGTAGGAGGAGGCTTTTTCTAATTTTCGTAAAAGTGCCACATGCTCTGAAGACGCGCTGCATATGGTGGGCGGTAATGGAGCTCCGGAGCCAAGAGTCTGCTTCACACCAGTTACGGCACCGTCGTGCATGGCATCCTTCTCCCACAAACCAGGGCCCGTCCAAAGGCCCCCCCGCCCCCCCCGACTCTGCCTCCCCCCGCTGGCATCCTGACGAGCTCGCCTGGCTCCTTCTGATGCGATGTGGACACAACTGCGAAGCCGTGTGATATTTAAGCCCCACCCCCACCCCCACCCCCACAAGCGCTTCTAGATCTTCCCAGAACCCAGGTGGTACCCCCAGGCCTCAACGCTCACGTGAACATCGTGCAAGGTGTGTCGGACCAGAAAAAAGATGAATCATTTCAGATGCCCCGCAACACCCTTATCTTACGAGCGAGGAAATAAAAGCTCAGAAGCTCGGAAAGCCTCAGGAATTGTTTTCCTCTGCCCAGTGCAGCTCTCACTTTATAACAGCTGCCATGCCCATGATGCCCATGACCAGGTGCCAAGCCTCGCGCTGAGTGTTTTCCCGCCAGTCAGTTCACGGATAAGACTGGAGGCAATTGTGGATGTTAATAATAATCCCTCAAGCACTGCAGTAAAAGCCGAGGCTGAGGTGTTATGTGGCGGAACTGGTTTACGAACCCAGACCTTTCTCTTACTCCAGACCTCGTGTCCTTTCCATCTGGTCTTGTGGCCCCTGGTAACCAAACAAGACAAGCTCTGAAATATAAGAGAGCATCGAGGAACCACGGCCAAATATCAGAGCAATGAGGTAGAGATCATACTGTCTTAGACGCCTGAACACCACAGTGCTCTGAAGGGGGTTACGTCCGGGCCACCTTCTTATACCTTCTGCATGCATTAAGTCCCGGAGCCCCCAGATCGGTCAGTGAGACTCTACTTCTGCTTTGACGCCAGGTCAAGGCAGCTCACGAGTGGGGCTGCTCCTGTGCGAATGGAGAGGGAGAAGGAAGGAAAGGGTCAGGCAGAGACTGAGTCACCAACTTGACCTTCACTGCTATTGCTTCTTACCTGCTGCCTCTTTCTATCTGAGTTGTTGCACTATCGTTCCTATGGGTATCTGCCGGTACCAGCAGTTCCCTAGGAGAAGGCAAGAACCTTCTTTCTGAAATTCCACAGGTGTGCGTGCGTAACCCAACCAGTTCGGTGCTATGCGGGACTCAACTTTTCCTGCGCCTTCATGAGGCCCAGGATTTATTTTTAAATGGACATGTTTAGCTGCTGGAACTATTTGTAGGAAATCACTAGTAGATTTTCCTGGTCCCTCATTTCCAAGTCAAAACCTCCCGCTGTGGCATTAGAAACAAAACAACACACACACACACAAACCCTTTGCAAATATCTTTTATGGAAATATTTACCCAGTGCATTTATCAAAGCCACAGGATTTGAGAGATAAAACAGATCTGGTGTTTGCACAATGCAGATTCCTTTTGGAAATTCTTAACAAAAATCAGATGTGCACAGAAGGAACCGAGTTTTTAAGAAATGCCAAGATCTAGACACTTCAGGTCAACTTCCAAGCTGAACCTAAATTCAGAGAAGCCTGAAGGCCACACAGCATGACCCACTTACACGCTGCTGTCATTGTAACCACTAGGCCTTATTTCGAAGGTATTATCACCCAATTAGCATAATCTTCTGATAAGAAGTATTAATAGTTTAAATTAGAACGCAGAACCTCAGGTCAGTGGTCTTTGAGACTGTTAATCAACTGTGGCCCTGACCTGTTACAGATATGAGAAGGGCCTGCGTCTTTTCTACAGAAGCTATCTTTTAGGGATAAAACTGAGAACGAATTTAAGCTTCCTTACAGGACTGAATCAGAATGGATTTACAAACTTGGAATTTTTACAGCTTGTGGGTTGAAGTCCATTTATGACTAAGCCTTCTTCTTACATAAACATGTGGGGGGAAAAACATGTTTAGCCTGTGAAGTTGAAATCCTTCCTCAGCCTTGCTCAATAGAGAGAATAAAAGCACAGAACGGAAGCACAATGTTTAAAAAGACAGGTATCTACAATAGAGAAACGATCTCACACACACATTCACAAACCTAAAACAGGCTATGAAAATGCTAACACTGAGCTTTCACTAATAAAGGGTTGCTATTAGTCGTGTAGGTATTTGTCAATCCATTATAAGTTAACCTCAAAGGGAAATGGAAAATTATAAGCAAGCGTATTTCAGGAAACCAGAAAGAAATGGCTAACTTCTGGTGTTAACTCAGTATTAAAGATAGTTTCTAACAAATCAGAAAACTCCAGCTTTCACCCAGTCTACCTTAGAAAATACTGCTGACACACTTAAATAGCCCACTGAAATTCATTATTTTAAAAATTTTTTAAAGTTTTATTTCTGAGAGAAAGAGAGACAGCATGAGCAGGGGAGGGTCAGAGAGAGAGGGAGACACAGAATCCGAAACAGGCTCCGAGCTGTCAGTACAGAGCCTGAGGCAGGGCTCAAACCCACAAACCATGAGATCATGACCTGAGCCGAAGTTGGACACTTACCCAACAGAGCCACCCAGGTGCCCCTGAAATTCATTTTTAAATGACAGTGGAAGGTACCAGAAGGGTGAAGTGCTCCGTATGGAAATTCAAAATGGCTTCCCCAATTGCACTGGGAGCTAAGCAAATTCTCAGGAACTACTTCTGCCTGCACGAAGGTGCTGGGGTTTCGAGTTACAATTTTCTACCCAGACAATGACTGGTGTGAAGTGTGACAGCAGCCGCCTCAAACGGGGGTCTGATTAGCACCCCTGACGCTCTCAGGAGGAGGCCTCTCAGCCGGTGGGAGCTCACGGCTGGCATGTGTACCAGGCGATCACTTGAGTCATCTCCGGGGGAAGGAGGTCACAAAACCTCTGAGCGGTGGGACCAGCAGAGAAGATGCCCCTTACCTTTCACTGTTCTTTTTGCCACTCGAAGAACTGCTCGTGGATCCCGTGCGGGTCCGGTTTCCTTTGGAATCCCCACAGCTTTCCCTTCGACCGCCAGGAGATACTCGCTCGGAGGAGCTGGTCCTCTTGATGGTACTGAGGAAACGTGGAAATGACAATGAGATTCTTCACAGAGTGAGTTTCTTTTATTGCCGAGTGCAAACGTATATACATAGAACATCATATTTCTACATCGATATTTAAAAAGGGATTGACTCTAAATTCCAAACTATACAATAAGTGTGTGTGTGCACGTGCATGGGCATGCGTGCGTGTGCGTGTGTGTGTGTATGCAGTTCAAAGTCAAAGCAGGGGCACCTGGGAGGCTCAGTCGGTTGAGCATCCAACTTCAGCTCAGGCCATGATCTCACGGTTTGTGAGTTTGAGCCCCATGTCAGGCTCTGTGCTGACAACGTGGAGCCTGCTTGGGATGCTGTGTCTCCCTGTCTCTCTCTGCCCCTCCTCCATTTGCATGCATGTTCTCTCTCAAAAGAAATAAATAAACTTAAAAAAAAACAGGGGCGCCTGGGTGGTTTGGTCAGTTAAGCGTCTGACTTTGGCTCAGGTCATGATCTCACGGTTCGTGGGTTCGAGCCCCGTGTTGGGCTCTGTGCTGACAGCTTGGAGCCTGGAGCCTGTTTCGGATTCTGTGTCTCCCTCTGGCTGCCCCTCCCCCACTCACACTCTGTCCCTCTCTCAAAAATAAATAAACATTAAAAAAAATTTAAAAACAGCAGCAACAACAACAAAGCCATGGCAGAAACTGAAAGGAAACCTCCCCAGCAACCCTGTGAGCGCTCCCGCGGCTTCACGGGAAGCGTCCTGCCCTCCAGCAGGCTTTAGTCTAAACCGGTGGTGCTCAGCCAGGGGTGACTCCGCCCCCAGACGGCACTGGGCAACGTCTGGAGACAGTTTCGGTTGTCACGAGGGGGGTAGAGGGCTGCTGCTGGCATCCAGTTAGCAGGGCCAGGGACAGTCAGTACAAAGAACGATCGGGCCCCGAAGTCAGCAGTGCTGGGACTGAAGAGCTCTGCTTTGAAGACACACGGGGGACAAACACAAATAGGTGCCACCAGCAGTGACAGGAACATTCCACCCCACGCACGATGCCTTTGTCTGCAGGGGGTGCCCACACAAGCAGAGCTGGGGGGGAGGGAGTTAGACCAGTTGGGGCTTTGGGGGCGATGACTGCGAAGACCTCCTGGGTCCTGCGGAGTTCTGCGAGAGAGCACATGAATGGCTGGTGTGTTGTGATTCCACAGTAGGGAAGAGCCCGTTAGAGGAAGAAGGAGGGTCCGTGCACAGGGAGTTCATGGCCGCGGAGGGAGGGCCGTGCACGGGGAGTTCAAGGACGTGGGGGGTAAATCGTGCTGCTCCTGGAGCACACACGTGTATTACAGGTCTCCCCGGAAAGTGTTCATCCTCATCACTGAGCCACACGTTCCTTGGGATCCCATCTCCTCGATCATTCTTACGTACCTCGAGAGCCTGGCAAAGAAGCTTGATGCTTATTACATGAAAAAGATGAAAAAATGAGTAAATGAACGGAGTATCACACTCTGAGCCCGTCACAGGAGGACACCCGCGGGGCTCTAACTCAGCGCCTGCCCGGTAAGAAAGAAGGAGAGGGCGGGCTGGGCGTGCGGGTGCTTGGCTAGGGCTGTGGGGAGGGGCCTGCCCAGGGAGGGGGAGCGGGAGCAGGGCAGCGGAGGAGAGAGGGCCGGAGAGAGGGGCCGAAGGTGGGAGGTCGTGGGGCACAGGGGGCGCTGGGGCCGCAGGAGGAGATGGGAGCGGGACAGAAGTCCCAGGTGGCTGCGGGAGCTGGGCCCCCGGGAGGGGACAGACCAGGCCACGTTTCAGGACCCAGGAGACAAGGACGTGAGACCAAGGCCAGGCTCCTGGGGGGAAGGTCTGGGCCCCCCTTTCTCCCGATGACACAGCCGTGTCCCGGGGCTCCTCCGTAGCCCCCCAGTCACTCTTCTTCCTCTCTCCTCACCCCTTCCTGTTGGAACAGCCGATCACTCAGCAGAGAATCTCTTAGCATGTTTTTTTTAAGCCATGCAGTTGTCAGATTTGTAAAACCATCTTGCTCTCTGGGTGAGCAAACCTAAGGTGACCATAACTGTGGGTGTGACATGCTTTCTGCACAGCCTTTTTGGTCACCGAGGGCGCTTTGGGTTTACAGCCGGGTTTGAATATTCCATCTGGTTCTGAATGAGCACGCCTTAAGGTCAGAACATGCATTTTTAGAACGCTCAATTTGGGGACTGGGAAATTACAGATCTTAGGAGAGCATTACATTTCCCAAACTTGGGACTGAGGTCTAAAATTTATAGAAACCCTTGTGCTCAAAGTTCAAGGTCGGCCAGTGACGACAAAGGCCAAGCTGATTTAACGCCGTGGGATCTTTCTCTTCCAGGCACCTGGCCCAGGGCTCGGAGGCAGGCTGCGCGGCCCCTGGAGGGCCCCCACGGGACGCACCAGCAGCAGGTGGCTGGCCCAGAGCGTCACCCACATGGTGTCCCCGGGGAAGTTCATGGCAAGTTCACAGCCACTTAAAGACTTGCACAAAACACCTTTAAGGAGCTGAGAAACCATGACTACTAATCAATTACAGCAAACAGTAACCAGTTTTCTGATAACGCTGAGCTTGGCAGCTGGAAGAGCTCGTAGGAGGCCAGTGATGGAGACGTGGACAGAGCAGTGGCAGGGACAGGCCACATCGGCTAAGAACTTCGTGGCTGGTGTATGGCATTTCATCTGGAACCTCCCATGCTCCCTGCAAAAGTATCGTTATCCCCATGATACAGATGAGGACACAGAGTCGGGGATGAGGCAGCTCGTGAGGTTACACCCTGCCCCCACGCTTGTTCTCTCTGCCCGGCTTCCTACTTACGAAGGCCGACAGTTCACGAAACACCCAAGGACACGGGTCTGAGGGCCTGCTGAACATCTAGAAGTCCAACAAGCACCAATAATTAATACGGATGCGTGGTCGGAGGCTCGACCAATGGGAGACCTAAGAACTGTACGCTGCCAGGCTGTAGGGGCCTAACGCTCCTGGGCTGTAAAAACGAATCTAAGCCTCCCCACTCCCACCCCGAGGTGTCCAGTTGTGCTGTTGGCATGCATTCGGAAGATACACACCTTGTTCAATCTACATGTAAGAGGCCCGGAGACAAAGCAGGATAAACTGAGCGCAGTAGCAAAAGTGTGGAAAAATACTTGGGTAGCTTCGATCAGCGAACAGAACACACACCACCCATTGAAACGGAAACCACTTCCATCTGCATATAGAGACGTGGATGTAATTCATCACAGCGCCTCCCAGATATCGCGCATGCGCACATTTGCACTAAAATGTTAAGCTTTAAAAAAAATCTACTATTGTTGTATACGTAGGGAAGAAAAAAAAAAAAACCCAAGATATTTCCTTTTAAGAGCCAAGGGCTCTTATGAATTAAAGAGGATTTAACCAAGACTCAAAGAGAAGGACAGAAAATAGAGCTGGAAGACCAGACATTCACAGGATCAAGGGCATCCAGAAGGGGCAATTCTGTATACTCACTGCAAGAAGCCTCCTTAAATAACCAGCAGGGGATATCAAAGAAGTTATGTGCCCTCTGGACAGCAAGGAGAAATAATGCGCTTAGTTTGCAAGTGGAGGAACTGGCTGGTGAGAGACTGTACACCGATTAAGGACACCTTCTAGTGTTTAGGGCAAGGAACATATTTTTGGTACAGAAATGCATCAATGCTACCATTTCTTCTTTTCCCTTCTGGTCCCTACCCCCACTCCTGAACCAAAAACCTTCTAAGGTCTGAAAATATAATGGTTCATTATATGACATTACATACCCATTCAATGGTTTTTGCCAATTTAAATTTTATTCAAAAAAATGTTTTTATGTTTTATTTGTTTCTGAGAGAGAGAGACTGCGTGAGCAGAGGAGGGTCAGAGAGAGAGGGAGACACAGAATCGGAAGCAGGCTCCAGGCTCTGAGCTGTCAGCACAGAGCCCGATGCGGGGCTCAAACCCACGAACCGTGAGATCATGACCTGAGCCGAAGTCAGATGCTTAACCGACTGAGACACCCAGGTGCCCCTTGAATTGAATTTTAGACAAAATAAAATTTCTGCAAGGCTGATTGGTGAGCAGAGGAGAGTGGAAAGTTTTCTTCTTCCGGTTGGACAATGACTCTAAGCATGACAGCCTACAATTGTGTCTTTCTTTCATTATGTGACATGGAATCAAGGATCTGTTTTCCACAATTATGCCAAGAGATCCCCAACTTTTATAATAAAAAAAACCCAGAAATCTGACAGGTCCCTCCTGGGTACCGCCAGGGATTTCTGATGATGTCATTTGTCATGAGAGCCAGGGTGATAAGACTCGATTAAAACAGTTATCCACTCAAAAAATACTTATTGGGCACTGAGCGCACACTGGGTGCTGCGCTGAGTGCTGGAGAGTCAACACGGGGCTGGGACCAACCTGATGCTTGTCCTACAAGCTACGATTGTTGCAGGAAATCACCCGCTTCACTAATCATCAAATGCTCTCACCCTCCTCTCTTCCGCTGTATCTTTGTGGCAGTAATCAAGTCATTTCCTAAGAAGGCTGGCGATCTTAGAGAATCTGACAGATCAGAGGAGGATTTTCTTCTGCTCCTGAGCCCACCAGGGGACCACATGACTTCTGAAAAAGGGTCCCTCCACGCAATAGCAGAATACTTCCACTGCTACTTCGCTACAGAAACAGACTCAAAACGTGAGTTTAACACCTACGTTTCAATGGCTCTGTGTGATGAGGAAATATATTAGAAGTGATAATTTTTAAAGGCCCATAAAATAACCTCAGGGGTGCCTGGGTGACTCAGTTGCTTAAGTGTCTAGCTCTTGATCTTGACTCAGGTCATGATCTCATGGCTCATGAGTTCAAGTCCCTCACGGGCTCTGTGCTGACAGTGTGGAGCCTGCTTGGGATTCTCTCTCTCTCTCTCTCTCTCTCTCTCTCTCTCTCTCTCTCTCTCCCCCCTTCTCCCTCTCCCTCCCTCTCAATTTTTAAACCCATAAAATCAGATTTCATTTTTCTA